TCGTTTATAGAAAGGCATGTCTCAGTTTCTGGAATTTCTGCGCACAGATTCTGTGACAAAAAATTTGGGCCATGGGGGAAAAATTGGGTTTTCCAAAATTGGACCCCCTTGTTTTTAGAAAACAAAAAAACTTGGGAAAAAAAAAAAAACAGAAAAAACCATATATGTCTGATATCATACTACTTGTAGATAATCTCACTGTTTACAAGACAACCCTCGTATTTCGATAATTTGAGTCGGTGGAAAACGTTAAATGCCGGTTGAACGGTTGATATGAGTTGATTGAAGAAGCCATTTGGACATTAAATAATACAATAAAAAATCATACTTTTATGATAGGCTGCTTCAATGCTTTTGAGAAAAAATATCTGCTCAAGAACAATAGGTTTTCACACTTCTTCAGGGTGGGGGTTCTTTTGATTTGAACTCGCTGTCAATGTTTAAGTTCCCATGATTTCCTCTCAGTCCTGCTTTTTGCCTGTTTCATTCAGTTATATTTCATTTTACGTTAGTTTCATATGACATTTTAAGTTTTTGTTTTCTAATAATGATAGTTGAAGTACTCTTTAAGTTTTAAACAAAGTTTGCTATATAAATCATATCGGTTCAGTGCACTGCTTGAAAAATTTCACTGTTTTTTTTATATTCATTTATTTTAAGATAAAAAGTTGAATCTTCTGTATGATGTACTACGGGGACAAGTGCATTTTGAGCACGTTCTCTTGAGATCGCGGAAGTCTAACACATTGACAAGTTGGGTTAACAATACATGTGGTCAGTAGCGAAGGACTTACTGGCTCAAGAGAATTTTTACGAATATGTGAATAACTATCACACAAAAAACGATTATTTGAATAACAAATCCATTGCGCCTTACAAATCGTTCACTAACAGAAAATATACATTTATGTTCAGAAGCAAATCAACGGGCATTTGCCCAAAGAATTACGGAAACTGAACGAAAAACCTCAACGCGATGGGGTCATTGACCAAGGTTTAAATAAATTCATTTGAAACGTTGTAAATAAATATACCTAAGTTTTGTACTGTGGTGTGCATTGTATTGATATAGTAATGAATCATAATTTATATTTGAGACCTCATAATAAGTAAAATTTTTTATTTACCATTGTTGTAACCTGCACAGAAAGAAGTGTACGTCACATATTTTTTGAACACTCTTGGTTGCATTTCAATGCAGTGTTCCGGACCTCTTACCATCAATGTTGTCATTCTTAGTGACTCGCTGTGAGTGTAATTTTCTTTTACACCCCATCCTAAGATCTGGAAAATAAATGCGTAAAGAAGTCAGGAACATATTTGTTTCTATTAAAATAAAGTTAGCTGACATCGCGAAGTGGAAGTTAACATACCTGTCCTGTGTTGTTTTCTTCTAAGTGGTCATCCAGATTCTCTGCATTCCAGTCTGCACAAACGTATCTTTCAACTGAGGTGAGTTCCACAGCATTTTCGAGAAAGAGCAATGCTATATCAGATCCATAGTTCCCGCCATGAATTTGATAAGCAAGTTGCATAACTACCTTTTTTATCTAAGCAAAAATTATTATTGTGAATTTCATTATAACAACTTGTAATAAAATATCTAAAATATGTAATAAGAGAAAATCCATGTTGTATACGGATTTATAGTTATTGAAATTTAGGAAAAGGGAAAAGAGAGAATCTTTTAACTTTCGTGAAATAACAGATGTTTCAGAAATGCCAAAATTTAATTTTCCAGTTAAAAACACGTTTATTTTTCATTTTTGCGATGAATGACGTATTTAGTTGCGAGCAGCAATAATTAATGTGTGAATTAGTACCTTTATATATCCACGATGGAACGTGAAGAGAAGATAGAGCTGGTCCAAAAATAGACACAACATGTAGTGTTTACCTGATAGATTTTAATTTAGATTTAGATATATTTTTATTTCGTCTACAAAACAGTAAGAACTGTCTGTGCCATGGGGGAAGAAAATCATCTGCGCACGTGTTCTTGAGTTCCAGAATCCATTCCTGTAATTTTAACTATAAATAAATGAAAGATGAGTTAAAGATTAAAATCAATAAAATTTTTATGCAGTCAATTTTTAATGCAATTTCAAATTCTGGGGAACAGAACTATTGACAACTTAACTCTAATTATAGTGCTATTGAAGACGTATAAATGAAAATGTGTTCTATGAGACATCTGTTTGAAGTGCACTCAACAAGGTTTCACTGAACAGATACACAGGCAATGTTGCAGTGACATTCATCGGCTCGCGACTTCTAATTTTCAGAATTAACTAGTGTTGCTATGGAATGGCAACAGTCGGACTCTACTTACTCTTATAATTTCTTTTGTCGGACTTGTTTTTTCGGGGTCCCTTGCCTCCCCTTCTTACTAGCCACCATCTATCACGCGCCCAAACCAACGATTTTTGAAAATTTCTCACATTTTTCGCTTTCCTAATTTTAGAACCGAAATATTACTTTAAGACTATTATATAAAAAACATGGGCAATATGGAGAAATATCATAAAAAATTTGAAAGTCAGAGTAAAAAAATGTCGTTTAAGTGTTACTATAACTGCAAAATTTGAAGCTGTTTTTCACAGCAATTATTTTGAGTAATCGAAAAACTTCATAGGGCGTCGTTTGGCAGCCTTTATATCTCAGCAAATGC